GCAAGTTGGGAATTTGAGAAGAGGTAAATTGAGAAGGGGTAAGGCGGTAGAGGTAGACCAAGGAAGAGTTGGTACAAGATGATAAGATAAGGACATGACCTTGGAATGGGATGGGCATGATTTTGGTTCTGAACCAATACCAGAACCGCAACCTTAGGTTCTAGAACTGTACAGGAGCCAAAAGCATACAAGCAAGAGCCGGAATCAGAACCTTACATATGAGGTGCCAGATCCATCAAATGGAGGACCAGTATTGGCAGTTTAAGCTTTCGAACCGGAAATGCTTTAAAGTTTTAGTTAAAACGGCGTAAGAACCAGTACTAGAATTGCTTACAAACGTTCCAGTTAAATTTCATGATATCCTGGTTTGGAACAGCACTGCGCCCACCCCTATGCTGCATAGGAGGGTTTTGAGGTCTAAGACTACATTTGTAGGGATGTTGGGTTAGCGGATGTTTCCTTCTTTTATTCAGGGTAATTAATCTATGAGATAGTTGGGTAATTAATATTACTTGTTGAACTATTCTAGGTTGTGTCTGTTGTTCTTGTGAGCCTGGGGTGCATGTAAATGGCATGTATACCTTGCAAAGTTGGGGTAAGGTCTATTATGTATACCCACCCCTTTCAACCCCGCTTGTGAATATAATCGAGTAGGTTATTTTTGTAAAACAAATAGTAAATATAAAACTGATGTGCTTATTATTATTATTATTATTATTATTATTATTAGGTTATTGCTAAATCCACCCCACAATAGGCTATATCCACTCCTTTTTGTGTGAAATAGACAAGTTTACCCTTAATGGTTGATATGGGGAAAGAAAGAAGTGAAAGGGCAAAGGTGTCCATTTCTTATAAATGGAGTGGATTTTACCAATTAGAGTGTGGATTTAGCATCACCCTTATTAGTTATTATTATTATCATTGTTATCAGCCTCATCATCACTAGTTTTTACCCCACGTTTTGCACGAGCTCGTATACTCTTACATAAATATTTGGTTTGTATAAATATGAATTTGATGTTCTATAAAAAGATGAAATTAGAAATGAACAAATAAGTGAAATATGTACGAAAGTCATTATGTGACATCAATAACATCATCAATATATAGAAATATTGAAATAGTAAAACTTACACACACACGTACCCATTGAGCGAGATTTCATGAACTACTCTTAAGTTATTCTCCTTTGACCTTTCACTTCCGAAGATCTAGTGATGTACGTGAGGGCGGACGTGAATAAACTCATTACAACCTCTTCTCTAGCTTTTATAATGTTAGACTATTGCCTAATACAATTGTGTTGCTTTGATTGAATATTTTTAGGTATAAACTTTTCCGAGTCAATAGTTTAAAAAAGTACTTCTCCCGATTACTATTCCAAATCACTATTCACTTCCTTTGGATATATTCATTAGGCATTTGATAAAATAATATAGTCATGTCTCCTTTGATTTTGTAGAACTTTTGAAGGTTTAAATATATAAGTTTTATTTATTAATTTTATACTTATAAATTAAATTGAAAATAACTCCATCAAACCTCGTAAACCGAAATGGGAAGAAAGTTTTACGACAAAGAGAGTAATTTTTTACAAACTTTAGACTACTTTTTAGACACTAAAATTACTAGTTTATGGGTGAAAGAAACAAAATTTGTGTTATTTATGTTGGTCTAGAACACATGCTATTGAAAATCATGAGTGCAGCCAAAATCGTTAAAGCTTTGCTACAAGCGTACTTGTATTATCAACTAGCAAGTGAAAGCAATGTTCGAAATTGCGTATTGCGGTTTCAAGGCGTTTTCTTTTCATGGTGTATTGCGTAAGCCTCGAGGCGTATTGAGGCGTAAGCCTCAATTTTTAAATTGAAAAATATCCACAAAATAATTTAAAACTAAAGATAGAACATAAATAATCCAAAAACATTTAAAAAATATATTGTCAAAGTAATACATCGCAAACACAAAGTCTAACATGGAATAAGACATAATATTGCTCAAAGTGATGAGCTTAAATTGAAGAATTGAAAAAAAGTTCATCAATGTCTAACGGCTTGAAATTAGGATCAAAAGATTAGCACAACAATTATCAAAAAAAAGAATAAAAAAGAGATTAATAGCTAAAAAATGCATCACTGTCCAACTACTTGACAAAAAAACACCAATTATAAACTCCAACCGTAAAAAAGGAAAATTGAATGCTCGTGTACTTCATAAAACGATAACAACAACAACAACAACAACCCAGTTGAATCCCACTACAGTAGGGTCTGGGGAGGGTGTGTGTACGCAGACCGTGCCCCTACTCGGGAGTAGGGAGGCTGTTTCCAAGAGACCCCCGGCTCAACCTGCACAAAAATATGGAAGGGAACACAGTATAACACGGGTAAAGAGACATGTACAAGCAACAAGTACAAGCAATAGCAAAAGATTCCAAACAAACACAACATACTACAAACAACCTCTATAGCACTGAGCTCCTATCCAGCTATTCTAATCCTAGTTCTCCAAAGGTTCCTATCTAAGGCCATATCCTCATTCAGGGTGAGGGTTCCTAAATCCTGCCTAATCACCTCCCTCCAATTCTTCTTAGGTCTACCCCTTCCCCTACTTTCTCCGATAACCGTAATCCTCTCGCATCTCCGTACAGGGGCGTCAGCATCCCGCCGTCTCACATGACCAAACCATCTCAACCTCGCTTCTCGCAGCTTATCTTCCACCGGTGCCATGCCCACCTGACGTCAGATAACTTTGTTCGAAATCCTATCCAACCTTGTCTTCCCACACATCCATCGTAACATCCGCATCTCTGCCGCATGCAGACGACGCACATGAGTCTTCTTAACCGCCCAACACTTTGCCCCATATAACATAGCAGGTCTGACTATGGATCGATAGAACTTACCTTTCATCCTGGGGGAAATCTTCGGATCGCACAACACCCCTGAAGCTAACCGCCATTTGGCCCAAGCTACCCCAACACGATGTCCAACATCCCCATCTAACTCTCCATCATCCTGGATTACCGAGCCAAGATATCGAAACCTGTCTACCTTAGGAACTAGGTGAGAGTCAATCATAACTTCCACTTCTGATTCTGTTTCCCGGCCGCTGAAACGACATTCCATGTATTCATTCTTGTTCCTACTAATTCTGAATCCTTTAGTCTCAAGGGCAAGGCGCCATAGTTCCAACTTATTGTTTAGTCCCTCACGCGTGTCGTCGATAAGCACAATATCATCCGCAAAAAGCATGCACCATGGGACCCCTTCTTGAACATCTTGAATCAGGACGTCCATCACCAAGGCGAACAAAAAAGGGCTAAGGGCAGACCCCTAGTGCAACCCCATCCCTACCGAGAAAGACTCAGAATCGCCCCCGGAAGTCCTTACCCTGGTTATAGCCCCATCGTACATATCCTTGATCGCGCGAGTGTACACGACAGGAACTCCTCTCGTCTCAAGGCACCTCCATATGACCTCCCTTGGCACCCACGTACGCCTTCTCAAGGTCAATAAAAACCATATGGAGGTCCTTCTTCCTAGCCCTATACTCTTCCATTAACCTCCTCACGAGATAAATGGCCTCAGTAGTCGATCTGCCAGGCATGAAATCAAACTGGTTCTCAGAGATGCAAACACCTTTCCGCACCCTATACTCAATGACTCGCTACCACACCTTCATGGTGTGGCTAAGCAGTTTGATGCCTCTGTAATTCTCGCAGCTCTGAATGTCTCCTTTGCCTTTAAACAGAGGGACCAAGAGACTCTCCCTCCACTCATCAGGCATCCTTGCTGTCCGGAGGATAACATTGAAGAGTTTAGTTAACCAAACCCTCGCACCATGACCCGCATGCTTCCAAAACTCCACCGGAATCTGATCTGGCCCCAGAGCTCTCCCACTACGCATCCCGCGGAGAGCATGAACCACCTCTTCCTGGCAAATGCACCGGCAATACACACGAGACGCCCCGGAATGCCCCAACTCATCAAGAACTAGCCTCTGGTCTCCTCCCGCATTTAAGAGTTCACTAAAGTACTCCCCCCAGCGCTTAGCCACCTTGGCAGTCTCAACTAGCACACTACCATCGCTGTCCTTCACGCATCTCACGTGATCCAGATCTCGGGCCTTCCTCTCACGCACCTTAGCAAGCCGGAACAGTGGATTAACACTGCCTTTCTCCTCAATATCCTTGTAGAGGCGTTCAAATGCGGCATTCTTTGCCCTCGTCACCTCTGACTTAGCCTCTTTTCGTGCCTTCTTGTACTCCACTCGTAACGCCGCTCTTTCCTCCTCAATATTGCAGCCCATGTACCTCAAATACGCCACCTTCTTAGCTTCCACCTTACTTTGAACTAAATCGCTCCACCACCAATCACCCTGACGCCTACTCCTAGAGCCAGAGCTCACACCTAACACTTCCCTGGCTGTTTCCCTGATGCAGTCTACGCCCACATATCAGTAGCCTCTCCGGTCGATTCCCACGCACCTTTCTCCTGCACTCGCTTGATCAACTCAGATATATTCTCCCCACTTAGTCTTCTCCACCGGATTTGTGTGTTGCCACTCGAAGCTCTCCTATGTTTCACCCACCTGATCATGACATCCATCACCAGAAGCTTGTGTTGGGTAGTGATGTTCTCACTCGGAATTACTTTAGCATCTTTGCAGAGCACCCGATCACACCTGCGCAGGAGAAGATAGTCGATCTGTGTCGTCCCCACTCAACTAATTAAATAAATTTATCAAGATAATAAGTTAATAGTAGATTATAAATCATCGAGCTGTAACCCATCATCCATCCATTCTTATACCATTTGCCGGAAAGAAAAAAAAGTGTCCCTGCTCTAGACACGAAAAACAAAAACGCACAAAAGATGAATTGCACCTGCTATCGCAATGGAGATAAATCGCAACTTGGAAATCTTAGCAATTAGGGTTGCAATTAAAGGTCATTGAATAGGTAATTTTAAAAAATATACACTTAATTGGAATTGACAACTTTAAACCTTTGATTTCCTAAATTTTACACACTAAATTGCGTATGCCTCATTGCGCGCACCAGTGCGTGCGCCCCATGGCGTAAGCCTTTAAGCAAATTGCGCAAAATGGCTAATTGCGTGAATCGGGATTCGCACCAGGGCGTTATTTTCTAGAAAAAGTTTCATTGGGCGCCTTGAGGCGGGCTTGGGTTCCGCCTTTTCAAACATTGAGTGAAAGAACTAGATAAAGAAACATTGCAAGAATAGACTATACCACCATGAGTGAATCCTAGCCAAACATTATATTCCATACCTGGTTGGACATGAACGGAGAGTTCTGAGACACTTGCTGCCTCAGGGCCTGGTTTATCCTTTGCGTGGAAAAAATTGATCCATTGGCTCTATTTTGAGAGTTCACATTTAGAGATCCCATCATCCCCATTGCCTGCATTCCTTGCAAGGGCTGCCCGTGGGAGTTCACTGGTTGTAGCTGAGACCCCGTCACTAAACCAGCCTTTTGCCGATGCTACACCAAAGAGAAAAACCACTTCAGATATGCACAAGGTACCCACTTTGTACTAAATCAACTCCTCTTTTTTAAAAATAAAAAATAAAAACTGAGTATTAACATATCACAAAGCAAACATGCACTACGCGAAATTGCTCCGATATTAAAAGAAAATAAATGTTCTGAAAGATAAAGGCATTTTAGCACTCAGGTGACACGGCCATTTCAATACAGCTCAAAAGATCATAGTTTGACGGTCCTTTGACCATCTCTACGGATTCAAACATGTTGGCATATACACTACAGACTAAGAGTTGGTACGGCATTGCGCAAATGCTCACACTTGAGATTTTCTGCTCAACTTTGAACTGTAAGCTCAGGGAATAAAAATGCAGATAAATAAATAAGTTAACTATCGTACCGCAGAAAAATATTGAGGCTGTAAATTAAACTGGGCTGTGGCAGCAGAGGAAGCGATTGCGCTTTGTCCAGGTAACATAGAGAGGTGGCCAGTCTGTCCCATCAATGCCGATCTAGATAAATTCATACCAGCACTCATCTGTTGGAGATTCTGCTGATATTGCTGTGGTTGTTGTTGCTGTTGGAGATTCTGCTGTTGTTGAGGTATACAACCCCCAAAATTCATCTGCCCATAAATCCCAGCAGCGGCTTGCTGTCTTGTCAAACCAAACTGCTGCTGGTGTTGCTGTACTTGACTCAACCTCGAAATTGAGGGAGATCTCTGCAATTGCTGAATCTGCAAATTAGATGCCATTGATTCCGTGATCATATTATTATGGTTACTACTGCTAGTGTCATTACTGCTGATATTACTATGTTGCTGCTGCTGTAACTGCATCTGTTGGTGCTGATTTTGTTGTTGAAACACTTGGTGCTGATGTTGTTGTTGTTGTTGTTGCTGTTGAGCAACTTGCTGTTGTTGTTGGGCAAATTGTTGCTGCTGGGATTGCGAGAATTGAGGATGCTGCTGGTTTTGTACCAGTTGTTGCTGTTGAACATGATGATGTTGTTGCGAAGTTGTCAAGGGGATTTGCGGGAGGTCAACGGAAGGCGAGTGGGAAATTGAACTGTTATTGGAAGGCGAGGTCATGGAACCTCCTGCGTTCGGCGGTGCCCCCGCCGCCGTTAACTGTGTGTTCGACGTCTCAATTACCGGGTTCCCTGATTGCATTGGTTTGGGAGGAGACGATGAATTTTCGGCCATTTTTCTTTTAATTGATGGGAATTGAAAGCTCTCGATATAAAAGGATTCGGAATGAACGAACCCCAAACTTCACAGTCCAGGGCATTCCAAATAGTTGTCAAATTTTTGATAGAAAAAACGACCTATTTTCTTTTTACCAAAGTTCCATCACGTTAGAATCCAATGATCCAGAGCGCTCCATTGCCCCATTTGTAAAATTGACGGTTCCTACCCCTAACACCCCGCCCCGATCCAAACACACCCCGATTACCTCGTCAATTGCACCCCACAAGTTGATTTTGACTTTGGAGTCAAAATTTGACTCCAAAGTCAAAATCAACTTGTGGTAGCAATTGACGAGGGTAGGGGATGTTCGGGTCGGAGCGGGGTGGGGTTTACCTGGGGGTTAGAGGAGTTAGGAATCGTCAATTTTACGAATGGGGCATTAGAGCGCCCCGGGTCACCCCATGACATTGGATTCCAATGTCATGGGAACCCCATCCTTTTCTTTTTTTGAATACAACTATATATTATTTTGTGCAATTGACAAAGATCAGGAGTACCATAACTGTCCTGACAGACAATTATGTTTATCATAAGGTCTCTGCAAGTATGAGATGCAAGCTTTGCCAACAATCTAGAATTTGGGATTAAAATTCAATTTACCTTCTCAAGTGACCGTCTGACCGGGTCAAGAGGGCCTCGGGGATGGAGCTCATCATTTTTTCAGTATTGAAACAAAGTTGGATGTTAGAAAATTGAAAAAAAAGAAATACTAGAAATTGATTAAAGTGTTTTTTGCACCATATACTCCTGAACTTTCCCAAAATTGTACGAATCTCCCTTGAACTTTAAAGTTTGTAGCAATATCCCGTGAATTTTTAAAAATATTGAACTAGTGGTCTCTTTGTGTCAGTTTTACGAGTGTGTTAATCGCACACTCATCTAGACAATCAAGTGCAAGTGTGAGTTCATTCAAAATCGTATATCATACGTGAGTATTATAATATGTCTTTCCCAAATATTAATTTCTATGATTTTAACCTCTTTAAACCCTAGATAATTTTTTCGGTTTAGCCGTCAGTAACCAAATTCAAAGGCAGAACATCACACGACAAAGTTTGCATCAATCGATCAACTTCTGACATTTTCATTAAATTTCAATAAGATATTGATGAGCATTTGATTAACGTACTCCAAAATATGACACAGAGGGTGTAACATCCTGGCCCCCACCCTAGCCGTAAGTGTCCGCTCAAAGGATTGTAGACTGACCCCACAAACCAACACAAGTCTTTCCCGCGCACTTTGTCCTCACTCATGCGCGCCCAAGGAAAACTTCACAGGGGGTCACCCATCCTGAAATTGCTCCAGGTCAAGCACGCTTAACTTTGGAGTTTCTAGGTGATGAGCTCTCGAAAAGAAGATACACCTTGTTGGTATGAGTAGTACTATCAATCCTTTTGAGCTCTTCCCATTCCCATCTTGATACGGGGTATTACAGAGGGACCAATGGTGTAATATTTTTATAAACTCGGGGAGCACTGGTGTAGTTTTTAATGTTAAAAAAGAATCCACGCAATTTTTGGAAAGTTATTAAGGGGTAAACGACACAAAAATCTCATTGAATAAAATTAGAAGAAACTAAAAGAAAGTAGAAGAAACTAGAGAAAACAAGGGGAATTAGAAAAAACGGAAAAGAACTAGAAAAAAATAAAAAAAGTAGTAAATACTAGAATGAATTAGAAAATATTTGGAAAAAATTAAAACATGTTGAAAAAAATATAATACTTTTGAAATATCAAAAAGTTGAAAAATGAAAAATGTTGAAATATATGTCATTTCTACCATATGATTATCCTAAAGTTGATTTGATTACTTATGTTTTATCTGCGCAGTATTTCCATATTTCAGAAAACAAACACTACGTACATAAAATAAAATAAAGTGATGTGAACCGAGATAGAAATACTTCCAACTTGACCCTTCGTACCAACGGGATCCATCACATGATCTCAAGCAAAACAAATCCAATAAGGTTATATTCATCACGTGATGGCAGAGAAATTAAGGTTTGATGAGTTTCGAGATGTCCTGAAAGATTTCTGTATGATTTAAATCGAAAACAGAACTAAATGAACAAGCCCCGAGAATTAGGTCTCGCACAGTCCAGCTGTTGGACGGTTCCGAAGAAGGATCGCTGAGTGCAAATAGTTGAGCTCGGTGTACAGTTTGACAGAAACGGTCCACCCTCCAAATGTGAAAATAAATCTAGGAGTTCGCCTCTAAAGGTGGTTGAGGTCGGTGGACCGTTTGACAGAAATGGTCTATCGTCCAAATGTGGAAATAAATCCAAGAGTTTGGCGCTACACGCGGTCGAGGATGGTGGACCATGCACCAACAAAAGTCGACCGTCATGGGAAGACCGAATTTGAGAAGCAAAAGGTCGAGGACCTAGACCATGGGTCACACACAGTCAAACGTACCAGAGAGCCATTGTGGACAAATTTAGGGAAGAACAAAATGGTTCACCTGTTAGACTGTGACAACCTCACGGTCGACTATTCCGCGGTGGTTAGGGTGTGGAAGTCTCCACTTAATTTCCAATCTAATTCTATCCACCCATGATGTGCATAATTGGATGCAATCTTCCAAATCAAGATATTACATTGACCCTTTATTGCATTCTTTGAGCAAAATTTTAAATGGGAAAGAGTTAACCAAAGATAATATTCTTTGTCATTACATGGTAATTAGGGAGAAAGGATGGATGAAATGGAATAATTTCACTTGGAACTCCTTGGTGGTTGAAGGGCACACATTTTGAAAGATCATCCAAGAATATTTGGTAAAATTTTAATTGATATTTGTATTTTATTTATTTAATTAGTTTGTAGCTTAGTGCTAATATAGTTCTATAAATAGGTTTTGAATTCTCATTTAATTTGTAAAGCATCTTGAGTTTGACAATATTGAAGTAATATATATTGAGTGTTTGAGAGTTCTTCAAACAAATTTGTGACTTATTGTTTTTGTTAAGATAAATTCTTTATCTTCATTGATTAGTAAATTATACCTTTCGTGTTGCTTCTGCAAACCTCGTAGAGGTGCGAAAGCTAGAAACCCGTGAGTTGTAGAATCACCTCATATGTTTTGTTACGAGCAAGTCTCGTAAAGATATCATTATTTGTCTCAGAAAAGTTTAGGGACTAAAATATTCGACTTGCGGTGAAGGTTATTACGGCAAGTCTCGTGGGATCGCAACAATAGTGAAAATTTTTTATCAGTTTAATTTAAATATAAGTTATATTCATTTTTATCTGAATTTGTTTTTTACACATTCTTTTGGGCTGTTTTTTTATTTTTTCATAATATAGTACTCCTTCTATCCCTAAGACTATGTTTGGTTCAAGGAATTTGGAAGGAAAAGAAAGGAAAATCATTTTCTTCACCAAGATGGAAAGATTTTGGTTTTACCTCCTCTTAGTGCAGTTTGCTTTCTCATTTCTTTTTCCTTTCACTTCTCCTCTTTAACCAAAAAGGAAAAATGCTTTCCCCTCCATTTTCTTTTTCCTTTAAATTTCTTAAACCAAACATAATCTAAATCTTGTTCTTATTTTTACTTTTATAGAATTTAAGGTAGAGGAATTGATATGCACATATTTTATACACTTTTTAGGCATATTTTGAAAAAGTTTTGAGTCCCAAATAAATTTAATGTTTACATTTTATTTCATTTTTCCATTTTATTTGGGTAGAGAGGTCCTATGCTTGGTTTTATATGTTTTGCATATATTTTGAGGTCATTTGGACGCATTGAGAATAACTGTTATGACGGAAAATCTATACTATTCTAAAAAGCAGGGGAAATTTTTCCCGCCCAAACGCACCTACGTTGTGAACTGTGAAGTGTCTATTAGCATCAGAATCTTGATCCACGACCATTATTCATCTTTGGAACGTTTCCTTATATAATTGTGCTTAATAATTAATACAGAGTAATGTTTACATGTGCAATGATTAATAATAATTGTGCATATGACGTATTATATTATGGAATATTTATTGATATATCAAGTTTCTGTCTTTAATAATATTGAAATAGAACGCTCACGTGTTTAATGATTTATAATTATTAAACGGTTGAATATTTTTATATAAATATATTATTTCTGTTAGGCATGTATTACGTTGAAATAGCAATAAAAATACTAAGCTAAAAAAGGTAAGAATGGAAATAGTTTTGAAATAACGTTTATTTTTAGGAAACTTTTTTACACTATTGCCCAACATATCTTTTGTATAATGTCAATTTAATTATGGAAAGGTTTTAATAGCTTTTAAAAATTTTACGCTTAGCTTTCAATCTTATGGTAATATATTACCTTTTATAGAGATAATTAATTTCACTTACGGCACATTATTACCTTTTAAAGAGGAAATAAATTTTTATTACTTTTTATGAAAATTTTGGTTATAAACTATAATATACATTATTAAAATAAATATAAATAATGTTAATTTTTAACCTTTGATGTTAATTTTTTTGACTATCAACTAAATTTGCACCCCGCAATTGGCGTGGTTAGGGGGATGAGTTGGGGTCCGAACCGGGTGGGGGTTTATCGTGGGGCTAGAAGGGTTAAAAACTATCAATTATGCAAACGGATTACCGTAGGTGTCCCAATTGGGTGAGTGGCTTCCGTAGCCACTCTTTTTGAGTGGCTCTAGAACCCAGCCGTTGATATAATTACGTTATATTAATCTTCCATCCGTTCGGAAATGATTTTCTCATTTGACTTTTCGCGGTCTCCAAATTATACTTTGACCATTAATATCTACATTTATACATAGATATATTTTATGTAAATTTAATATTTCAAAAATACGTACGTTTCATAAGGAAAATATTGATATTATATTTATATCGAAATACAATGTATTTTTTCCATACATCAAGGTCAAAGTTTACAAACTTTGACCAATAAAAATCATGGAAAGATCGTTTCACGAGAAAGAGAGTACCTTTTATGGAAATATATTATTTTTGGAAGAAATACATTATTACTTAACCTTTTCGTCGAAATACTAATAAAAATACTAAAATAAAAATCGTAAGAATATAAATAATTAAACAAAGATGAGTGCATTTTATGCACCATACATTATTATTACGTTTTCATTGAAATAGTAATAAAAACAACAAAATAAAAATGCAATAAATTTTTTTATTATATCACTTCCAATTTTGTAAAATTCGGGTACTAAACAGAAGTTTATATAAATAAATTATTTTATATTTTGTTTCCTTTTCGGAAACCATTTACATATTTACATTATATTATTACCTTTTATGGAAATATATTACTTTTGGGTGAAATAATTATTACCTTTTCGTCGAAATAGTACTGAAAACAGTAAAATAAAAATGTTAAGAATATAAACAATTATAGAAAGATGAGTGTGTTTGATGTACCATACAATAATAACAACAATAAATGTGTATGGTGCCATTCATTATGGTATACTAAAAAGTTTTCATTTGTTAAAGGACTAGGTTTGTTCTGATAATAATAACAAGGCTTATTGATACATTTCCTAAAAGAAGTCAAAGTATTTTTTAATAAAAAGTTTTCATTTCTTTAATAAAAAATTTTAGTTTTTATTAATAAGCTAAATTTATTATACCTTATTTTTGTTGAAAGAATACAAAAATACATGTGTATATCTTAATAATAATAATAATAAATGTAATAATACTAAGAATAATAAAAATAATAATAAACATGATAATAAGTGTAATAATAATGACAAACATAGAAGATAATTATACCTTATTTTAGTTGGAAGAATATAAAAAATATATATAAGTGTGATATAATATATGGTAAGTGTTGAATTTAGAAATGGTAATTTTTCGTCTATTTGGTCAATTAAGAACGGTTACTTGCACATTCTTATATGGTAATAATAATAATAATAACAACAACAACAATAATAATATTAATAATAATAATAATAATAAATGTGAATGGTGCCATTATTTATAGTGTACCCCAAAATAGAGCCGTGAATATTTAAAAAGTTTCCATTGGCTAGGTTTGTTCCGAAAATTATAAATTATAACAAAAATTGACGCCATTAAATAGAAAAAAAGAAAAAAAATTCATACTACAAATACGGTCATTTTCAATCACTTTCGTAATTAGCCTCTCTAATTTTTTTAATGTTTTTAAATAATATTTCTTTATTTTTATGTGTTATATAAAACTCTCCATTTTATTATTAGTTCGGCAAGAAAAATGGTAAAAAAACCATTAAATATGAACAAAATTTATGGCCAAAATTTTGATTTGATTTATTTATATTTTTAAAACTATACACATAAATTTAAGATTTAATTGCAAAATGGATATTATTAGATAATTGGTGATGTGGTTGACATTAAAAATACCAATGAATGATGTTATATTGGTTCCAGGTTTAAGTGCAAAAACTATGACAGAGATTATCCTGAAGGAGTGTATATGTTAAATAATTTAATTCAATAATTTTTAATTACTTTGTACTTGAAAATAAATAAATCTATATATTCTATTAGATATTAATTTGTATTTTTCAAAAATGATATTAATCTAATAACGTAAATATGACCGTGCAACGCATGGGTGTGGTACTAATAAACATGAAAATTTGGGACCAAATAAATTGAAGAGATTTGAAGAAAAGAAAGAATTAAATAAAAATAAAGAAATAAAACAACACTAAGATTTGATATCTAGACTTCACTGCGTGGAACTGGAGACCATCGCACCACAACAGATCTTTCGGCACATTGGTGGCGGATATGCATTAGGTTCTTTTCTAATTCGGCCCATCAATTGAGAGAGAAAAAAGACAAAACAATAAACAGTGGAGAAGTTTCAAACACGGGTCACCCTTCTCTTCTTCTAAGAGGTTGGAACCCCCCATTTCTCCCCTCTCTACATTTCCGAATTTCTCTCCTTTCTCACTAATATCCAACCACTCTCTTCCTCCAAACACATAAAAATTACTCCATCTTCATCATCATTAACATCATCTTTTTCATTGATTATTTCATAAAATAAAATATTTTTGTTACCTCTTGTTTTGTAAAGTTTTTTTATATATTTTTAAATATGTAAGTTTTATTTTTTTATTTATTTCTTAATTTTTAAATAAAATGAATTGGAAAATTTTGGGATTTTTCTTCATTTTGTACAATTTGTAATCAAAATTAGGACGGAGGAAGTAGTATAAAAAAGAAAGGAATTTATGGACACGGAAAAAAAGAAATGAGATTAACTTTTAGGGATGGAGGAGTATAATTATTTGTATTTAATTATATATATTGAGGGCCTATTTGGTGTATAAAAATATGGATTTTGATATCCGGGATATGGAGTTTCCAAAATATATGTTTGGTGAAGGTAAAAGAGAATTTCGAATGGAAATCTAGAGATATGCAAACTCTGTAAAAAAGTTGTGTCTTGATATCGGTAAGAGTCTGCCGATATAAAATATTGATATCGCAGATATCACCATTCTAGCTTTCCTCCATACTTTCTGTCGTTTGTTGAATCAGTACGTCCTAGGAGTTGCCGCCGCCCAATAAGACGAAGCCATCTTAGGAGTTGCGGCCGCCTACAGCTAAAATTTATAGCCCAAGTCGCCGCCTCCCAATTCAGATCTCCATCCTTCGTTCTCAGTCGTTGTCCTCAGCTTCCATCTGGATACCAGGACAAAGCCATCTCAAGAGTTTCTGCCACATGCAACCGAAATCTATAGCCTGAGTCAACGCCGCCCAGTCCAAATTTCCATCCTCCGTCCTTAGATGTCGTCCTCAGCCATCCCTCCTTAGGCCAAGATGATGAGAGATAGACCAAAACCCCCCATGTGTGTATTTTTATCCAAAATATATGTGTGAAAAATATAGGGAATTGTTGTAGACTTGTCGTAAGGTCCGAAAAAATTAATAATTTATAAATAACCTTAGCTAACCTCCAAAATAAAATCAAATGAAAACTATAGCTAGGGAGATTTGAAAGATTGTTGACATTAAGAGATTTGAAGGATTGCTGACATTCCTCCGTCCATACGAACCCTCGGGCCTTCTTCATTGCCTGGAAGAAAGCAGCGGCTCGGTCCGCCACCTTGGAGAGGAAACGGCGGAGCGCCGCCAACTTCCCGGTTAAGCGCTGCACTTCCTTGACGTTTCGTGGGGCTTCCATGTTAAGGATGGCGCGCACCTTCTCGGGGTCTGGCTCAATGTCACGTCGACTCACCACGTGCTCTAAGAACTTGCCACCTTGAACTCCGAACTGCACTTCTTCAGATTCAACCGAAGGTTGTACTTCTATCTTGAAAACTCCTTTTAAGTCTTCCGCGTGGGTGGTCGCCTTCTTGCTCTTTACAATCATATCGTCAATGTATGCTTCCATGCTCCTCCCGAGGACAGGGGCAACGAGCTTGCTCATCATCCTGGTATAGGTCGCCCCGGCGTTCTTGAGGCCAAAAGGCATCACCTTGTAACAATACACTCCGCCGGGAGTTGTGAAGCATGTCTTGTCTTCATCTTCGGGGTTCATCTTGATCTGATGGTACTCACTGCAGACATCCATGAAACTCATGAGCTCGTATCCCGCCATCTGGTCCACCAGCTGATCGATGTTTGTGCGCACCATCCCCTACTATCACAAGCACCATGATGACTCCTCCGGCCTCGATGGAGTCTCCCGTGAACCCGGAGAGGGGAGTGCGCACCGGCTTAAGATCCTTGCGGTTCAGGCCAAGGTCTTGGAAGCTCTTTTCGTACATTATGTTTACCGAGCTTCCCGTGTCCACAAAAGTGCAGTGCGTTTATCTCAATCTGTACGACCAAGGCGTCTCGATGGGGGCAGGGCATTTTGGGAAGATCTTTCTCCATGAACTAGACCTGCTCTCTTCTTCCGAGCTTGGACGTCGGCGCTTGATGGACCTTGGCGACAAAAGCCATGTGCTTCCACATCTTCCTCTAGGCAACTGAGTCTCTGCCGATATTCCCCTGTGGATAAACCCCACCGGGTATCCTTGGGCTTCGTCGTTGTCTAGGTTGTCACATTCTCGCCCGATGTGCGCTCTTCTCGGGATTCCTTGCTTGCGTGGCCACTACGACCTTCTCGGGATTCCTTGCTTCCCGGTGCCCCTCCCGATGGGGCTGCTCCATCATCTCGAGGAGCCGGCCCTTGGGTGATCAGCTGCTGCATCTCCTTCTGAAGTGTAAATCATTCCTTCGTGTTGGGTGTGTTGTTGTGGTGGTACTCACAATACTTGCTGCCGCCGGACACCACGTAGGTCTCCAGGTGGGGGAGCGGGGAGAGGGCTAGCTCTCGACCCGTCCCCGCAGGCGCCCCTACAGAGTAGACTCCGGCCAAAGGCATTCTAGGGCCAGCAGTGTAGTCCTTCTTCTTCCTTTTCTTCGCAATCTCCCCCGAATCCATGGGAGCTCGCTTGATCGGCGTAGCCTCAGAGGGGAGAGCGTCATCGAACTCCTCCAAGGCCAAGAACTTAGCGCGTGCCAAGGTTTCCTGGTACGTGGGGGGAGGATTCTTGCGGAGCTCCTTCCTCACTTCTCCCTCAGGTGGGGTTGCTTGGAACATCGCTACCAAGGCCTGGTCATCCGCCCCGTGTACGTCTCTGGCTTCCTTTTCCCACCGAACTATGAAATCTCATATCTTCTCTCCTTTGCGGATACAGATGTTGAGAAGGTGAGAGTATGGTAGCCTTTGCCTTTGGTTGGCCGCGAAGTGCGTCACAAACTTTTCCGCCAACGTGTCCCAATCATCAATGGTCCCCTTTGGGAGTCAGTTGAACGAACCACACGCTGAGCCCTCTAGCGTTGTGAGGAAACATCGACACTTGACCTCGCCCGGTGCCGCTGCTGCCTCCATTCAGGCGTAGAAATTAGATAGATTATCCTCAGGGTCCGTCATTCCATTGTAGGCCTTAACCTGCCACGGCTGGAAATTCGCTAGCAGCGGAATCGACATAACCCTCGGAGTGAACGGGGTCACCGTCCTCAAGATGGGTTGGATGTGGGGCGCTCTTGTTTTTACGCGGCGCTTGAGCTCAGCAATCTCCCGCGCAAGGTGGGACATGCCATGATCTGAGCCCTTTGTCTTCTCGGTCCTTGTGAGACTCTAGCGGTGCTGGGTTTGCTCGTCTCTTCAGCCGTTGGTACGCTCGGGCCTCGCTGAGCGTGCATGCGAGGTCGCAGATTGCTCGGCGTGCCTCTGCCTGCCCTCCGAAATCTATCATTGAAGGTCACCCTGACGACCCTCTTGTCCCCGATTAAGTGAGTCAAAAGACAACACGCGAGTCTCATTGCCCCCGGCGCTTGAAGGGCGATACTCGGCACTCGCTTGACTCGTCATCCTCCCATTCTGGAATGTCCTTTACCAGAACCTTCTCGATCATTTGAGCCTTGCCAGGCCTCCTCCAGCTCATTCGGGTCTTTTTCCCCTTCTGCTGGGAAGTGGCAGCGTGCTCGGTATTGGAGCCTCCCGGGGCCTAGGTAGTTTTAGTGCCGGGTCCAATCTCGCCCATGGTGGAGAGGGCCACTACGGCAGCCTGGAGCAATTCCGTAGTCACCCCCATGCCGAACAGCGCCTAGACCGTGCTAGGGTCGAGGTAATCCCTCTAGTGCCTTTACCGTTGCCCGAGTCGTTCTCTTCGCCGGCGACATGACTGGTGGTGGGGACGTTGCTCCTTGTTTGCACCATTCTTGTTCTCGGGAGTTAACCTCCGAGTATGTTTCTCTTTACTCAATGAGAGCACCAATTTGATGGCAATAAATTACTGAATATCTTGACTAAGCTAATTAAGTAAAGTTTAGAGAGAGAGAATGCAAAGTAGGAGAATATTCACTTGAAATCAGATCCTTTATAATGAGGGGACTTCGCCCCTTTTATAGAGTATACAATACAATTAGTCAAACCATGTGATCGATATTCGTCGCTTAGTGGACGTCACCTGACCCTCATGGTCTAGTCCCTTTATGTCCATCGCTATCGCCTGGTCCCTATCGCCTAGTCGCTGTCCCCCTGTTGTTATCATGTGGCCCGAGCCGAAGTGGACGTATCAGCAGTGGAGGCCGAGCCCGTACATAGCGAGTCGAGTCTGGGGCTCTTTCTTGTGGATGCGGGGCCCAAGTTGACGTGGGGTTATCCTTCATCAAATATCATATCATTATTTTAATTTTAAAGATTGATATTTTATTTTATTTGGTTTTTAATAATGTTGTGGCGAAAAAAATTACAAAATTAAAAAAGAAAATCGTTCTACCCCGTGCATGGCACGAACTAAATTACGGAGTAGTATATAAATAAATAATAGTAGGGGAAGGTTCCCATGACATTGGGAACCAATGTCATGGGATAACCCGGGGGCGCTCCAGTGTCCCGTTCGTAAAATAGACGGTTCTTACCCCTCCTAACCCCTTAGTAAACCCCCCACCCCGCCCCGAGCACATCCCCCACCCCTTCAATTGCACCCCACAAGTCGATTTTGACTTTGGAGTCAAATTTTGACTCCAAAGTCAAAATATTCTTGTGGGGTGCAATTGAAAGGGGTGGGGGGATGTGTTTGGGGTGGGGCGGGAGATTTACCGGGGGGTTAGGAGGGGTAGAAACCGTCAATTTTACGAACGAGGCACCGGAGCGCCCCGGATCATCCCATGACATTGGTTCCCAATGTCATGGGAACCAAGGGGATAATAGTAAGGCCCTACTTTTCTTCTAGGTTGGAGGACTTAACTTCCAACTCTTTCCAACTTCTTATAGTCAGTGGCGGAGTCAGGGTCAAGAGCTCGAGGGAGCACTACACTTGTACAATGTTCGAGAAAACGCTCTTAGTTTTTCTAACGATACCGTGAAATAAAAAAATAATGTTTTATTCGAAACAAGTATTCAAATAATTAAAATAAAAGAGTTTAAAAAGAGAATTTCTTTATTGAAATTTTGAATTTCAAAATAATTATCACTTTAATTGAACATAAAACAAAATAATTTGATTAAAAAAATCTTAACATACACCAACTTAAGTGAAAATTGAAATTACCAATTTATCTTCTCCAAATTAAGTTATACTATATATTTGGGGGGAAATACGGTAAAAAATAATAGTGTAGAGATTTAGAGACTTACCAAATTTAAAAAGTTTAACTTTTACAATTTTTTTATTTTTTTGTACATAAATTGAGTATAAATTTAGTAAACTACAGGGTATAATTTTTAAAATTAAAGTATTAGTCTTATAAAACGAAAAATAAATTAACTATTTGTAGCCATTAGCTCCTAGCCTCTTACAAGAGAAATTCGATTGGAAGTCTCTCCAAGGATTGCAGACGCATGCTGGGTCGAGGATTGCCGCAATTGGGCTACTGCATACTGGGTCGAGGAGCAATGGTATGGGTCAAAGCCCAAAGGAGTAATTTTAAACCCAATTCGAAACGACGTTGTTTTTCTTTCTTTCTTTGGTGACAACAGTCGGCAACTATTCTTCTTCGATGTTCTGCTTCTGCAATTAGCTGCCAAACAACGACAAATCTGGGGGGGCGGGGGGGGGGGGGGCAAATCCGGCCTTCCATCGCNTATTTTGCCGGAATTTCACCAAGGGGCACTTGCCCAGGCATGCCCCCCCTTCAAGTTCATTCTAATTCCTCCTAGTTTCTTCTAACAATGAACTAAAAAAGGTATTTATATATGATCAATATACAATAACGTTATATATCCAAACTTATAACATACCACCACAAACACGGACAAAGATGTTTTTTATATCCGAAGTTAGCATTTTCTTACATATTTATTTGATCTAAAATGAATTTTATAAAGTTTATCTGATCTGAATAAATCGAATTTGATTTGAATGGATCTGATCTAATTTGAATGAATCACGTCTGATTAGATTTGAATAGAATTAGCTCAAATTCAAATAAATAGAGTAATAATAATAATAAAATTTATAATAATAATTAATTATTACTAATAATTATTATTAACAATATAAACAATATAAACTATTATTATTATTACATGTTATCATTCATGGTGATTATTATCATTATTAATTATAATTAAAATTCAAAAAATAAATTTTATTAAATTATATTATTATTAAAATATTACTATTATTATTATATTTAAAAATAAATATTATTATTAATTTTTATTATCGTTATTAATTATTATTAGTTAATAATGATTATTATAATTATTATAATAAATTACTATTACTATTATTATTCAGTATAATGATAATATATTATTTTTTATTATTAATTACTTTTATTAATTATTTTTATTATTATTAATTAATAATAATTATAATATTAGTTATTATTATTGTAATTATTATTATTAGTTGATAATAATAATGATTATTATTATTTGAATTAACTGTTATTATTCTATTATGGTTATTATTATTATTCTTTATTATTATTATTACTAATAGTAAATATGATGAATTTAATTATTGTAATTGTTGTTGTTGTTATTATTATTATTATTATTATTATTATTATTATTTTGAACTGATTTGATCTGAGATGCTTTGATCTAAACTGAACTGGTTTGATCTGAATTGAACTGAATAAATATTATATTATCGGAATAGACCTGATCTGATATGATTGTGATAAAAATAAGTAGAAGAAATAAGTTGAAAAGAACCAGACCTAACTATGTGAGAAATAGAGAATATAGAATTGAAAAATTAGGTGAGTAGAGAATCTATATCTATATCTATATTCTATTCTATATATCTTAGAATAAAGCTAGGGTTCCACCACATGGGTGCTACCGTGGGTGCAGGCCAATTCTAAGACTGAATTGGCCAATTCTTTACCATCGTATCGTGTGCTCTGTACGTAAGCCATTGGGACAGGCTTTTCTTTTCGTTTATCTCGACACAAGAGAAGGCAAAAAGGCTAGGGAGTTGATCCTTCTTATGGCCATGGACAACGGGCCGTCGAGCGGAAGAATTGGGAGACGACATCGCTGGCTAGGTTTAGGGTTTAGGGTAGCAGCTTAGGCCAGAGTAATCTTCACTTTTCTCATTTAATCCATCACACAGACGATATTAGAAGCGAAATTGGTTGACAATGCTATTTGGAAGGAAGAGTTGCATCAGTTGCTGGTTTGAAATTAGTTCCAGGTATTTTGTTTCTTATTTTTTGAGAAAATTGTTGCAATTTCTTTTCAAATTATCCATGATTTAGTTTTATGTTTGGATTTGGTTGTGAATGATTTGGAAACTTTTGTAGGACAATTTGGCTATTCTTTTGTAGGGTGGCAGAGAGCTTATTCAAGCCCAAAGGACTATTTTTGGGTATGTAATCCTTCCCTTTGTCTTTCTCAGTTTAAAATTCGAGCATTCAATACGTAATTCTGTAATTCTAATTCTGTATGCCTGTTTTGAATTTTTTACGATGTTCTAAAGAAACTTAGATTTGGTTTGCAAACATTATTGGATCAGTAGTTAATAACTATTATTATTAATTGAAACTTTTATGTCCTTGATGTGAGGTTTTATGTGCTTTCAATGTTTAAGATCATCAAGATATGTTTTGTTGAAGTTTTGAAGTGTAGTTTGGAAATACCTAATACAATCAAACCTTGGTGCATAATGTAAATTTTTACACAATAAATATTACCTCATCATCGCCGATGGAGGAAACCAACGCAGCATAGAGGACAACGATTCGGTAACACCTTATCTTCCTTTTCTATTTTATTTTTTTAAAATATTAATTGAATTTTTAGAAATTGGAAATGGACAACCATTCGGCTTCAAGGAGAGTTTGATGCACTGCTTCTCAAATTTACGGACTTCTGCCTTCTCGAGTACGCTACTAAAATTTCCGGCCATTAACGGAGGAGCTTCGGCCAAAAATTGCAGCTACAGGCTCTAAATGTTTGATGAGAAATGTTTGAGGTTGTCTTTATGATGATTGCAGGTAGCTTCACTTATATTGTTATTTTTTTTGTCATTTTAAAGCAAGGAGCAAATTAAATTAGGCAAGTATCTAATCTTGGAAACCCTATTGAATTATGTTTTAATTGGAAAGCTTTGTATGTTTAAGATGAGCCACATGAATGCAGAGCAAGTTCAATGGAACTGAATGAAAATTTTAATTCTTTCGAAAGCTTACACTTTTAGAATGAAAAAAGGAAAACATAATTTATGGAAAAAAAAAGAAGTATTTGTTTCCAAATATGATAGAAAATAATATCTTATCGCAGGAGTGGAGCAGGAGGATTTGTAGGTCTCTCTTTTAGCTATTTCATAAGGAGCCACATGTGTTCTTTCAAGAAATTTTTTCCGCTAGGTTTGCTTCCTTTTGAATTACTTTCTTTCTTACATCAAATTATTTTTTAAATATTTAATTCTATATATGGGTTATGTTTTTGTGAGATCCTTCTTAACAAGGTTCTAATTAAGTTCAAAAAGATGAGAAGCAACCGAAGCATGGCACCGAGTGAAAAAAGTAAGTGTTTCTTGATTTTTTTTTCTACTGTGTCACTAAAATTTGATGCTATATGACTTAAAAAAGTAAGCGTTTCTTGAATTCTTTTCTACTGTGTCATTAAAATGTGATGTTAAATGTTACTCTAGTGAAGTTCATATGTTACATAATGTGGAGTAATCCATTTTTTAGCCTCTATTTAATTTTACTTTGATTAGAAGATATTAACTCGCAAACTTGCAAGCGCAGCCACAACCATTGCATCATCCAAACTTCATATTATTTTGTCTATTCACATGACAACAAGCTTATTTAGTTAATATAAAAAACTAAAAATGTACCGTATTGCAGATGAGCTTTTAAAACATTATGCTTTTACCACTAGATTTTTGAATGTAAATCATACACTTAAATAGTGTGGCCGGATGTTCTTTACTTTAAGCTTCTTTAGATACCTATTACTTTTGAAAGTGACTTTCTTAATGCTCAATAACGAGTCTTTTTGGACAAGTCAATGGAGATTGGATTCTGATTTGGGAGAATCAATCATAAAAGAAGAAAGAAAAAAGACTGAGATGCACTATTTGATAATAGAAATGAGTTAATGAAGATATATTTTACCATTTTCATTGGTTATAACACTTGAAATAATCTTCAACCTCAAAGGTGTGGAGGAGGAGGATGTGTAAGATTCTTCTTTCAACTACTCCAAAGTATTTAATTGGAAGCATAGGTTTGTCCAGAGTGTTTCTTTGGATATTCTTTTTACCATCTAGATTATAGGAAGCTAAAAATGACCTCTAACTTCCAGTATAATGGGTTGACACTACACATACATTCATCAATGCTTAATATCAGGATTGGTGTTTTGCATTGCATATTGTGAAATAGTTCAGCATATACTGCTTTGGTTAGGTCTGTATTACATGTATCAATGATGCACCTGCTGGATGTGTTTGCTTGCAATGACTTTGATACATTTTTCTATTGATAAATACTTATAAAGTTTGCCGGTCAATTCCCTCTATTCAAATGGTTTAGGATTTACACCTTTTCTCTTATTTCTTACTTTATATTTATTTATTTATTTTCAACAACGGATCTAAATATTTCAGGGTGATATCTTTGTGAACTATTTACTCAAAGCTCGGTAGGTGAGTTAGAGATACAAGTTCATTTACTTAGATTTGTAATACTAGAGAAAAGGTGTTAGTTACTGAGAACTTTGTTTTTGCTTCTTAATAGTTGGCAATTTTGAGTTCATGCATTTGAGTAGTTTCATGGCCTATTCATTTGACATTTATTTATCATTTTTTACTATTGCTCACTTGCTTTTCTTACATATTGGCACCCATTATTGTTTCTTTTTTTACTTTCCTCAAATTTTTGTTTTTGTCTCTTAGAAGTGAAGAATAAGGTTTGGGTTTCAAGGCATTGCATATCTCTCACTTTGAAGCCATGTATTATTTGTAATTGTATGTAGATAAAAGATAGAAAAGGAAACTTTTAGATTTTTAACTTTTTTGCTTGATATTTCTTATAGTTTGTTTCTAAATGCAACAACAAATATAGATCTTTTGTGGAGATTTCATATAGCCTCATTAGCATCAGGTGTGTTTCATCTCATGACTTCTTGCCTTCATGTTAACCCTGCTTTTCACTGACAGAATATTCCACTGGGCTAAGTATTGATGACAGTTAAACCCCAACGACAATAGGGGCAAATGGACGTACTCCAGAGAGGTAATGTTATCTTTCTTCTTTTTTCCTTTAATTTCTTTATACTCCATTTTTACAATATAATTTTAAGGATTTTTTTTATTTTGGGTTTCCTGATAAAAAACCCTAGGCCCCAAGGCGAATAACGACTGTGGCAAGGATGGTAGCAGTGATAGCTATATTTTTACTCTAGCCCCAACAGACCGATGAAGACGACGGTGGGCTGTGCTAGGTTTATGACCCTAGTCCCGACAAGGGGATTATGACAACAGCTACAAGGGCAGTTGAAGCAGCTGGCATGGTAGTTGCATTGTTTAATCTTTATTTCTCTAAAAGTTTTCAATGCCTTTATTTGGAGAGATTTAATTACAGATTTTTTTCTTCTCCCCGACAGGTTTGTTTATAAAAAATATGAAAAGCCTAGCAAGGTATGACCGGAAAAAATAGACTACTCTATTAATTTATGTGATTGCATTGATTCAAATTTTGCTACACTCAATATACTTTTCTTCAAATTTTTATAGTACTTGGACCTTTGCTTTACATATTGGCATGCAAAACAGAGAGATATAGTTTAACGACAGTAATTGCTTTAGAAAATAGCATTTGTATATAGGTCATGCTATTTGGGCCCTAATTTGTTTACGAATTTTAGCCCTCTTTTCACACACAATTTGTCCCCTACACTATGTATTTTAGTCCTTGAGCATTGAAAACTCTTTTTTTGTTTAGATCAAAACTTGCACAGAATGAGATTAAGTGTGAATGACCAAGTTGAGTTTCAGTAACTCAATTAACGGCTTTAAAAATTTGAATACTTTATATACTCGGGGGAACAAATTATTTTTTACTCTTAATTTATGTCTTTCATTTCTATTTTGTGGGAAGATTTGTGATGATGTTGTAAATTTTAATGTGTATTGTTTATAGAGTTTTCAGTCTGAAGGCATTCGAGATCACCTATATTTTTTGGCAGATTCTTTAAGAAAAGGGTAATTATATACCCTTTTCCTCCTTTTGGGAAGGCTACGAAGTTCACGTTTATGTTTATAGGTATAAGAGAGATCATTAAGAAGTAACATATTTTTTATTTTTTTTATTTTCCACTCACATTTTCAATCTTATTAGTTACTTTGGATGAATTTGATAGGTTCATCAAAATAATAAAATGTATTTCATGGCTAAAACAGATCAAGATTTGCTAAATTAGTTAGTTGTACTTCGATTTAACTTCTTAATTACTTAGTGGATACTCTTTAGCATATTTCGGTATTTTTTTAATTGGGAAAATGTTTGAATGAGCCACTACAGGGATCGCACGAGTTGGGAGAAGATGTTTCATTTCAACCTATAATTTGTAAAAATTATAATTTCTTTTTGGGTGTGACCTTCATTCTAAAACTTTAGTAAGGATCCCAAATCTCAAGAATGTAAGACTTTCATTCCAAAACGTTTTTCTAGTAATAAGTTTTTGCTTATTTAAACTTTTCTTAATATAAGGGCTTTGATTTATTGGTCCATTATTTGACAAAAAACCACTTTTATAGGTGATTTTGTTCTAATGTGAGACAAGGAGATTCTAGCTTTGTGTATGGAATATGCCAAGTTAGTAGATGTTCATAATTGGTCTCTTTAAACTCTTTAAACTTGAGCATGTTATGATGATAGGTTATTTTTACCACGTTTGGTTTACAACTGTTGTGATAATAGTTTATTGTCTCTAAATTCGAAATTTGAATTTGTTTCTTGCATAATTTTTTGTTACGCCATCTACAATAATTTGGTTTGTTTAGGTCTCTACTACTCTTGGGAAGTTAAACAAGCCATCATGGCAGCAAAGAAGAATAATGAAGAAAAAGGAAAACAATAAAAAGGAGAAGAAAAGGAGAATGAATAACAAGAAGCTAAAAAAGGATATAGAATAAATGGAATAAATAAATAGATACTCCGTATATATTAATGGTCTAAATATTATATTGAATATTGCGGAAAATTATACAAGAAAAAATATATATGAACGGATGAAATAATTTTGTGTGTTCAATCATGATATCCAACATATAATATCTTCGAATCTACAGAGTATTCTTATGTAAACAGTAATAACTTACACTGAATACCTTATTTAATTAGCCATTTTGAGTATGAACTTAAATAAATGATTTCAAATTAAATTATAAAAAAAAAAATTCTAATTAAAAATTTTGGCCGTGCAACGCACGTGTACGATACTACTGGATATAAAAATGATGTTTAGAGTAGGAATGTGATGATATTTATAGGGAAAAAAATTGCGGTGGGGTTCCCATGTCATGGGATGACTCAGGGGCGCTCCGGTGCCCCATTCGTAAAATTGACGGTTCTTATCCCCTCTAACTTTCGATAAATCTCCGCCCTGTCCCGAACACACCCCCTACCTCCTTCAATAGCACCAGACAAGTTGATTTTAACTTTGGAGTCAAAATTTGAGTCCAAAGTCAAAACAAACTTGTGAGGTGCAATTGAAGGAATTAGGGTGTGTGTTCGAGTCGGGGCAGGGTGGGAGGTTTACCAGGAGGGTTAGGAAGGATATGAACCGTCAATTTTACGAACGGGGCATCGGAGCGCCGCCGAGTCATCCCATGACATTGCCGAGCAATGTCATGGGAACCTTCCCCAAAAAATTGACCCCCACCTTCACCTCAATTGCTCAAATAGGTGTTTTGGGTGCCAACGAGTATATTGCGGTTTGTAGTTGTGGCTAGGGCTGTACAAAATCCGGGTCGGACCAGAAAATCGGACCGGACCGGAAAAACCGGTTCTAGGCTAGACCGGTAAAATTCCGGACCGGTCTCCGGTCTAAAGATTTTGGACCGGTAAAATTCCGGTCCAAGACCGGATCGTTTCCAGGTCGGACCGATAAAACCGGTTTATCTATTTTTTTAAAAAAATTAATACCTATGATACGGAGTTTACATATAATTATAAATACAATTGTATATTTTCATTTGTTCTTCTTACTTTAATATGAAGTATAATTTTTTAAATTTAATTTGTATTTTTTAATTCATTGCATTGACATTTACCCAAGAATATCCATAATTCAAAAAAACTATAATTATTTCCCAAAAATTGAAGTAGAATCTTTCAATTTAAAGTATTAAATACTTTGACGTATAAATTAGACTTGCTAAAACCAAAGTAATTTAAAATAAAACTTTATAATATTTTTGAGATTACAAAACTAACGTAAGTATATTTGGTCCTTTGTTAACATTTTTGTTAAGAACGTGGATAAAATTGTGTATTCATACTTCTCTCTTTCTCCTCAATTAAGCTTCCTCCCTCCTCTCGTACTCTTTATCAAACTCGTCGTTGAGTTTGAAGCTTTAAACCCAAAATTGAAATGATCATTCCTCTCTCAATTATTAGTCTTCATGGTGAAACCTAAAATCAAAACCAATAAACTTTATGCATAAGTTTTATTGGTTAGTCTCAAGAAATTGAAAAGAAAATAAACATTAAAACTCATCCATGAAGGTTACTGGTTTCGAATTTGGATTTCACCAGTTAGACAAACAATTGAGAGAAGAGTGATGATTATGGTTTTGGGTTCAAGGTTCAAACTCAGCGACGGGTTTGGGAAAGAAGTGCGAGAGGAGGGAGAAAACTTAATTGAGGAGAGAATGGAGTGTAAATTACAATTTTATCTACGTTCTTAACGAAAATATTAACAAAGGACCATTCTTGGAAATGAATATAATAATTGGGACTAAATTACTATTATTTGATATGTAAGGACTAAATATATAAAATGACCTATAACTGAGAACCTTTTATGGAATCTACTCCAGAAAGAAATAGAAAAAATAAGTTCCGGGTTCTCCAGTTTTTACCCGGACCGGACTGGAAAAAACCGGTCCGAACCGGTCCTATGCTTTAGGGAATTCTGGGTTTCCGGTTTTTTCGGTTCCGGTCCGGTCCGGTTCTGGACCGTGTACACCCCTAGTTGTGGCAGCCGGCAGCCCCTTCCCCAGCCAACTCTAAAAATAAATACGGAGTACTAGTAAAAAAAATCAATGCTGCAGAACCAGACCGCTACTGACACCAGCCGGTTCTGGTCTCTAAACCCCCAGCCCGCTAGTCCCCTACGGGTACTCCATGGCCACTCAGCAACTGGTTCCTGTGATGGTTCGTGTTCTAGTTCGGCCAGTTTTAATTATGAAATCAGTTCGGATCTACACAAAATACACAAAGGTGGATAGAGAGTGGGAGAAGATCCCTCAAATGAAGTAAAGGAGAGAGAGACCCCCCCCCCCTCCCCCTCCTAGGCGGCCTTCCCTCTCCCAATCTGCCGACTCAGGCGACCGATAAAATCATCATCCTCCGTGCGTAAGTACCACCGTGTTCAAAGTTTTCACAACAGTCTCTCTCTCGTTCATGATTTCTGGACATCTGTTCAGTCCTATCACCGGAACAACGGTATTCTCATGGAAAAGAATGTTCTTCCTCCAAAATTTCAAGGTAAATCCCAAAGGAAAATATAGTTTCAGATTTTCTTTTTAGATTAATCCCTTTACTGTTTGCTAGGCTACAATTTCTGCGTAATTGAACTTTCCCCTGAATTTCAATTTTTATTTGTTCAAATGTTCAATCCTTGATACGTAATGTTGTTCATGACTTTTATAATTCGCCTGATCAATTTTCCTGCAAACGCACTTGAATTGATGGGAACATTGAAAGCAAAGATGCAATTCTTACTGTGAATCTGTTTTGTCGGGTGCTCTGGCCAGAATGTGATAATGGGGATAAGAAAGGGGAAAAGGCTTTTTAGCATTGAAGGCAACTTTATGAGATTACATAGTTTTGAAATTTGGATGACTTTTGAAGTTATGAGTAACACACAATGCTTCATTGTGTTTGTGTGTTTACATGCTTGTTTATAATGCTCATTTGGGTGTGATTCAAACGTGAAAAGTTATTTTACATGTGCAGTTGTAGAAAGTTCTGCTTGAATTGAATTGCAATTGAGATGGAAGATGAAATATTTGCTGGCATTGCTAATGGAACTCAAATAGACAGCAAAGTTCTGCAGACATTTCAAAAGAGTTTTTTACAAGTTCAAAACATTTTGGACCAGAATAGACTGTTGATCAATGAGATCAACCAAAACCACGAGTCTAAGATCCCAATTAACTTGACCCGAAATGTGGGTCTAATTAGAGAGCTCAACAACAATATTAGAAGGGTGGTTGATCTCTATGCAGATCTTTCAGACTCTTTGACCAAATGTAGGGAGGCTTCCTCTGAAGGGGAATCTGCTGCAACTGTTAAAACAGATGGAAGAGGTGGCGGGAAAAGAATAAGGTCCAGCTGATTGATTGAATGATTTATCATCCTCGTTGGTTTATGCCATCTTTAATTTTTTTTCACTAAAACTTAAATGTTTCGCTCACATTGTTTCCTCAGACATTGCAACTCAGTTTTGGTTAACTTTTACCTGTAGCCACATCTTTCTTGGAAAACAATAGCTCCTATAAATTACTGTCTTACTCTTGTGAGCTTTGTTTTGTTTCGTGAGTTTCTTGGGTGAGTGATTTAATATTTTTTCCCAAAACTATTACACTATGAGCTTCTTCTCTTCAACTTATTTTATTACATACCTAGTACTCCCTCCGTCCATGTATGATCTTCCCATTGCGCGTTACGAGGCTTGACCGACTTTATTTTCAATTCAATTTAATTGATTATAGGAGTAAAATTTTAAAATAAAATTTATATAATACTCCGTAATAAACTACATGAAAAGTTCTACAAAACTAGTGGTGACAAGACTATATTATTCTATGAAATGACTAATAAAATTGAGCAAACAAAGTGAATAAAGTTTGACTCTGTGAATAGTGTCTGGGAAGATCTATGGTGGACAGAGGGAGTATTATTTATTCTTTTAATGGAATCACATCCGATAAAAAATAGCTTGAAATATGTCTACAATCAAATCAGTCCAGATCAGATCACAGCTTATTTGAAATTTGTCATAACCATTCAGATTAGGTGAAGAAAACAAGCTTTATGTTTGGTTCAAGGAATTTGAAAAGGAAAAGAAAAGAAAATAAGAGGGAAAACATTTTATCATATTTGGTTAGAATGAAAAGAATGAAAACACAATGTATTAAGAGGGAAAACAAATTTCCTCTCATTTTGGTGAGAAAAATGAGAGAAAATTATTTTCTTTTTTTTTTCTTTAAAATTTTCAAAATTCATTAAATCAAACGAACATAGTGTTTAGTAAAAGAGTTACTCAATCTGTCCCATTGAAACAAGCATATTTTATTGATGTACAATTTTTAGATTTTAGTAAGGTAGAACCATTTGACATTGCCAATTGTAGCTATATTTTTAAAACTTCTTTCTTTTCCATGTTTGCTCAGAGTTATTCCTTGTTGTGTCTGTACTTTGACTGGCCTGGTGGGAATGCTTCGTATGTATTCATTCTCCATCTCCTTTTCCAAACAAATTCCCTTCTTTCTTACCTTTAAATTTAGAAATGTTGCCAATGCGGCAATGCAGGTGTTTTGTTCCACGGTGTATGACTTCATGGCACCCGTCTTTTTATTATTTTTTCATTGATTTGATGTTGGGGCAGTAAAAGTTCTTCTATCATGCACCTCAAGTGCAACATAAACTGACAGGGCTCCGGGGTTCACCACGAATGAGAGAGCACCGAATTAGGGTTTGCTGGCTTTGCACCCTGGCGCTGCCGAGCCGGGAAGGAAGAGAGAAGAATGTAAATGGTACTGTTAAATATATTCTATATTTAATATAGTATCTTGTGTATATGGTAGCTTTCCTTAGGTATAGGTTTTCTTATTTATACTTTACACCCTTGTTGTAACTATATATACGGAGCCTTGTTCTCCTTGTTCAATATAGAAAATAATCCTTCTTCATGGTATCAGAGCCTCGTCTCGGAGCCTAGCCTCGTAACCCCCGTCCCCAAAACCCTAGCGCCGCCTTCTCCATCTCGGCGCCGCCTCTCTCTCCCTGCTCAGCACCGCCCCTCTCTCAGTACTGTCTCTCTCTCTCGCTGCCCGGCACACTGCCGCCAGCGCCCCTCCCCATCTCTGCCGATCTCCCTGCCTCCAGAGAGCTACCGGCGCTACCCCCTCCCTCTGTCGGCGCCGCCATGTCTGACAAAACATCAACCACCGGCGGATCTTCATCATCACAAACCACTCCACACTTGGCGTTCACAACTATATCTAACGTCAAGTTGCATGTCCCGGTTCTCCTCAGCTTCTCGGAACCGAACTACAAAAAATGGAGCCGACTTTTTCTCCTATTGGTGCGGCGGTTCTCCTTGGCCGACTTTCTCAACGGCAAATCCATCCCCTCAAGCGCGGACGATGCGGAATGGTTCCAACTCGATGCCCTCCTCCAGGGTTGGATCCTCTCTACCGTGAATGATGAAGTCTCCGACTTGGTAATCTCTTCTACAAACTCGGCATCGGAATTGTGGAAATCCATCTACTCTCTCTTCCATGATAACAAACCCGCGCGGGCGATGCAATTTCGCACCACCCACAAAGGCTCTCTCTCTGTTGCTACATATTGTCAAACCCTGAAGAACATCGCGGATTGGTTAGATGACGTCGATGCTCCCGTTTCAGAGCAGCAGCTTGTCCTCCAGGTGCTCAGAGGTTTGCCAGATGATTTTCGAGCTCAAACATCATTCCTGCAATTCCAAACACCAGCCCCGACTTTCCTACAGGTTCGCTCGGCCCTCCTCCTTATTGAACAGCAGCAGACCGACCTTGGCTCCGGCAGAGACACACCGGGCACGATGCTCTACTCCGGCAGCAGCCCTGGACTCCTCTTCGGCACAAACAGCAGCCGCGGTAGTGCCCGCGGCAGTGGCGGACAGAGTGGCAGTGGCGGCCCAGGCGCGTCGAACAACCGGCATCGTGGAGGACATCACCAAGGTCGTGGTCGAGGACGAAGCCCCGGATCTTATGCACGGCCCACCCAAGCTCAGCCCCCCTGGCAGTTCTCCCACCCCAACCCAAACCCCGGCCTACTCGGCCTCAGGCCGACCCACAACCCCTCGCCCCACGCCTACTTTGCCTCCCCCATAGCCCGAACACCCAACCCCCATCCTACCCGTATGGGTATCCGTACAG